AATGTATTGAAATGGGGGTTGGTTGACCGCTAGCCTCAGTTCATCCGAGTAAGCGCGAAAGTGCGATGAGAGACCGGGAAATATGCATACGTGGAGTGAACTATCCGGACTACAATGTTACATGTTTGTGGAAACGAAATGTTACATTTTTTTTACACTGAAAGTTAATTAATAAATAACATTGAGAATTGAGATATACCTAAGTAAAAATTTCTACTTGTGAAAAATATTAGTTTTAAGATATTCTGCTTCTTTTAAAATTGTAGAGGAGGCTCAGCCTCTCCTGCCTCCCCCCGACCAGCCGCCACTGAAAATTATAACTTTTGCGTTTTTAATCTATGTGTACAGGATCAAGCGAAAATGCCTTTTTTTTGAAATAACGTGGTTATTTTTGAGGTTGTCAAAAAGGTTGAAAGCCCACCATTAAATAATTTTAATGTGACATTTTGCTTGGTTTTTCTAATGAAAAATCCTGTATATTTGAAAATCATTTGATTTTTCTCATTTTTCTGATTTCGAAAATATCAACATGTGTTATGTTATTTCAAAAAGTTTTTGAGATATTTTGATTTGGTATTAAAATATCGTTAATAATTTTGCAAAATGTAGTTGTCTTTGAAAACAAAATAGCTGCATATTGTCATGGTTAATTAATTCTTCTTCTCTTCAAAGGCAAATACGTTTGGGGTCATTGGGAATGACCCGTTTAAATTCTCACCATAATCGAGAATATTACATATATTCTAGATTTTTAACAAGAACTCATTGATAATAAATTCTCGAAAATATTTCAAACGTAGAAAGTATCCATGTTTATGAAATACATGTATTGTATTTGAAAATTCCAAAATTTCCCTAAAAGTCTGAAAATATTTTATTTTATTTATTAATTCTCCAGAATTTTACAACACTAACCATTACCATACCTGCTCCGACGACTTCGCAATAAGGAAGTGGTATAATACACATAAATAATTTTGAGTAAATATATTCAAAATTTCGTCATTGATTTTGACGTTTATTATTTCTTAAAGATTTACAGTTTTGTAATATTTAACAGTTATGTGGTGTTTGTTTACATAAAAATTGAGCGAAATGCATATTATTTTAACTTAACCAGATAATTAATATGCAAATATTTTTACTATTTGACGTTGTAAATAAACAATACGGAATAAACATTGCGAATATTGTAACAAACCTGTCCCGCTAGAATTAAATACCGTTCCAAGTCATGACCAGATAATTTTATAAAAAAATATATTCCTTTGGCCTTTGGCAAGTTACTTATAGCAACATTCCGAAAGCATTTAAACTATAGGTATAAATTACAAATATATTTTCCATGGCCTATGTTTGACTGTAGTTCTTCTAATCGTACATTAATATGAATGATGTTAACATATATTTGAACAAATACATCAGTAATTAGATTAGATAAAAATATTGATTATTATTAGAGGATCTTGACTTATGGAGTCGAAAACAACAAACTTGCATAACATTAATTAAAAAAAAACAACGTATTTTCGTATCTGCAAATCAGTGACGCAACCCGGAATTGAAAACGGGGGGAGTGCCGATTATAAAAATATATGATTTACAAACCAAATTATATCTAATTTTTGTTTTTGAAATTTTACATTACATCGTTTGCAATGATACTCTTCATACTATTTTGAACAGAGTCATAGTATTTCGCACGGAAAAAAAATCTAAACTATTTTAAAGACTACTATTCTTAAATTAAGACATTATTGTACTCATATATCCGCAAGAATAGATATTTTTCCATCAAGGAAAACGTTATTCTTAAAAGTCATTATCTTAGTCTCCTTCTTTTAAGATAACTAATTATTAACTTTAGAATAATGGTTCTACTTCAGCTAAAAGGAAGCTTCGAACAATATTCAATACTACCTTATACTTAATCTAAGATTTTATTTATTCAGTTCAAAAATAGAGATAATTTCGATCTGTTACATTTAACACTTAATGTAAGAAATGTGTCATTTCGTTCAACAACTGTATTATTTAAATAAAACTGATGAATACTTGATTCAATAAATATTTGATGTTGACTGAAATCTTTTCTTTCTTGATTTCATATTGCGTTCTATTCAATTTACCACTTAATGTAAGGATAAATTTCATTTCGTTCAACAATTATATTATTTAAATAAAACTTATTTCCTTTTCTTTTTTGGAACTTACTACCACATGAATAATTCTTCGTTATCTAAAAAATATAGTTAGTTACCAGTATGTTACTGGAACTATAAACCTCTGCGCTTGTGACTTTACATTAAAAGATTAGCCAGAGGGTGTTTTTTGAAACGTTAAGGAATTATATATTATTTTTTTGTCTCGTATTAGTTGTCCCACCACTGCGCGATTCACTTGTTCCAATATTAGAACACTTCACAATGAGATTAGCAACTATTCAATCAAGGATTACAGTTATTGGATTGATAGTATATATAATTCTTTCTTCCAGCAGTTATTTGTAGTTTTATTCCAACAGTAGTATTCGTATGTCAAGAAAAACATTTAAATAAAAATTGACTTCAAGACGCCCTTATACTTACTCTCACACAGTACTCGAAAGAAGTGTACTATTAAGAGTATATTTAATACATGCTTATACTTCGAAGGAATCAAACATATATTAACTTAAAGTGAGTTTATTTACCTCGAATAAAATGTAAATAATTTTATCTTTTATTTTCTTCTCACAAATTCTTCACAGTTTATGGAGAGTGTGATTCATGAATAAGCAAGTCCTGATTCACGAGGTTCACAAAGGAACAGAATTATTCTCGTGGTATTTTTCTCACGATCAAAAGCTAACACGGCCGTGGAAAATCCTGGGGCAGGTTCCCACATTGATGAAAGACAACAATGGTAAAGATGATATTAACAAATACAACAATAGTTAACGAATTCAAATTGAATACTAATGTTACTTTAAAAATAGTGAATTTTATTATATTTATTCCTGCTTGTTACAGTAATTTCACGGTTCTGATCAACCTACAGAGCATGCAACGTAATCGCACTTGATTTGATTTAATTTTGTACACATTTGTTTGGAATTCTATAGGGTGGAATGTCATTGTACTTTTAATGTTTACGAAATTTTTTAAAACGAATACTGTATATTTACAAATAGAAATAAATACTAAAAGCGATACCTAAATAAAAAATATCAAAAGTCGTAATCCTCTCACTTTATTTCAATTGAAAATTAACTAAAGTTAGCACACACGCTTTTTTATGATTTTTAAAAAAATTTTATCATACACAGAATCGCTTAAGCTTTAATGAGGGCTACCGTTTTTAGTCTCAACAGTTGGCGCCACTGGCGAGTAAGGTAACTGTCAAAAATTATTGTTAGGCGCGGAACAAGTTTATAGGGTTTTATTATAATTATTCCGTACACCAGTAAATAAAAAAACTTGTTAATTATGCCTCAGTGTTGTGCAGTTCCATTGTGTTCGGAAACAAAAGGCGGACATATGTTTCCGCGAGGCAAAACTCGCCTAAAACAGTGGTTGGTAGCGAATCGCAGGGATAACTTTACTCCTTCGAAACATTCGCGTGTTTGTAAGAAACGTTTCAATCCTGACGATTATGCTTTACCAAAGGAGTCTACTACAGAAAATCATGTGTAATAATCATGTACATTCGTTGTTTTCATCATGCTCATACTTGATATAACCTAACCTTATTAACATATGACACCTCTGATAGGTACAATAATTCATAATAATGCATACTTTTGACAAATCTGTCCTAGTAAAAACACTTACCTCTGAATTAGCTGTTCTTTAGGCTCGCCTAATTTTGCACCTCTTTTTCTTAGCTCAGGGCTTACCTTAGAGGCGGACAACCCGGACCTTAGTCCGGGGCGGCGAACCTGTGGCGGAATTTTCGCCCCCCTACCTCTACAAACTGACCTCACCCTACCACCGACGGAATGCACTGTACAAACTTTAGGTACAGCATTGTGGCCCAGAATTTTAGGAGATGCCGAAAGAAGTTTTTTAGTACGACTAGGTCCACCTAAACCATTGTTTAATTACAAATTTCCTTATGATGGCACTGGTCGAAAATTTGGCGCAAATTATTATTCTCGAATTTTAAGAAATGAAGAGCAAGTTATAAGAGACTTGTACTCCACTTCAACTAACTGCATATATTGCTTTTGCTGCAAAATTACTGGCCGTGTGTCGAGTTCCCTTTGAAAAGAAGATTTTAAAAGCTGAAAGCACATCGTTGAAACTTTAAAGGATCACGAAATTTCAAAAATTATAATCAGGCTCAAAAACCCTGGCTAGAACTCAGTCAAGTGTTGTACAACTATAGATACAGCTGCCTAAGGAGTTATTAACGCTGAAATGAATCACTGGTACCACAGTGATTCTGTGCTGGTACGAGGTGCTACTTAGGATTATAGCAATTACTAAAATGCTCGGTAAAAGTTGTTTAGCTTTTCAAGGTATAAGTGACAAGCTGTTTGGGCATAATAACGGCAATTTTTTAAAAATAGTTGAATTTGACCCCGTCATGGAGGAACACGTGCGTAGAGTGTTTAAAAAAAGAAGAAACCAACGCTCACTATCTTGGAAAAAACATTCAAAACGAGATAATAGACTTGCTTTACGAAAGTGTAAAATCGCATATTATTGCTGAAATAAAAAAATGACCCTGATAATTAGATATGTTTCCATTAATAAGTCTGATCCTGATTCAAACGATGTCGTAATAAAAATCTACGAAAGCTTTTTGGGTTTCTTACCTGTGGAAAGATCTACAGGAAGACAACTATATGAAATTATAATTATAATAATAATAATAACCACATGAAATTACAACCCCCTTTATCCCTAAAGGTCTGGAATGACCTTGTGTGGGAGAGGGCTACACATTTAGAGACAATGGACACACACCCAATATCCGAGTATACTACGATTAATCTCTCTCACAGAAAAATCCCAGTTCCTCGACCGGGAATCGAACCCGGGACCCCGAAGTTTCGAGGCAAGTACGTTACCTCTAGACCACAGAGCCATAAAGAAATTGAAGAGCTTCATGAAATGGAACTTGATGTGCAAGATATACGAGGGCAGGGATATGATAACGGGAGTAACATGAGGGGAAACAATGCAAAAGTGCAATCTAGAATTAGGAATTTAAATCCGCGAGCATTCTACGTTACGTGTAGTAGCCACTCGCTCAGTCTAGTGGTAAATGATATGGCAAAAGCATCCTTGGAAGCAAGCAATTTTTTAAATTTGGTCCAAAAAATATGTTTATTTTTTTCATCTTCCTTTTCGACTGGCAATATTTTTAAAACATGTCCAAGGATTAACATTAAAACCTTTGAGTGACAGTCGATGGGAAAGCAGGATGGAAGCTTTAACGCCCGTAAGATTTCAACTTGGTGAAATATACGACGCTTTGCTAAGCATTTATGAAAACCAAGACATCGATATCTCAATAAGAGATAAAGCTTCGGGTTTGCTAAGTTGCATTAAACAATTTAAAATTTTATGTTCAATAGTCATATGGTATAAAATTTTAAACTGTTATTATTCCCATAAGCAAGCTTATGCAAACAAAAGATTTTAATTTGAAAAAAAACACTTGATCTTCTAGAGAACTGCAAACATGTCTTTAAAAATCTTCGATCAGATGAGTCTTTCAATGAAATTATTGTTAACGCAAGAGAATTTTCTAATGAAATTAACATTGAAGCCAATTTTGAATCAACAACGCCGCGGCACCGCGTACGAAGAAAAAATGCCAACTTTTCATATGAGGCAAGGGACGAACCAATTGAAGATACCAAAGAAAAAATACAAAATAGAATTTTTCTTCAATAATATTGTTCAAGCATTAAACGCACTAGATAGTCGATTTGAACAACTGAATCACCATAGTAACCATTTTCAATCTCTATATATTATATATGATTTGAAAACCATGCCTAAAGAGACACTGATAAAGATTTGCAAAGATTTTGAAAATATTTTGTCCGATGGTGAATCAGCTGACATTAACGGTCTAGAATTAGTAGAGGAAATTCCTGCAGTTTGTGTACTTTTGGGCAAAAAGGAAAGTCCAAGTGATGTTCTTAAAATAATAACAATGCTAAATTTTGCTCCAAATCTTAGTATTGCCTTAAGAATACTACTGACTATTCCAATATCAGTAGCATGTGGAGAAAGAAGTTTTTCCAAATTAAAATTAATCAAAACCTTTTTACGCTCAACTACTACGCAAAATCGACTAAACGGCTTGGCCATTTTAGCAATTGAACATGAAATTGCTGATCAAATAAACTTAAAAAGAGGTAATAAAAAGATTTGCAGAATTAAAAGTGAGAAAAAAAATTCTTCTGTTTATAACTCAGACACAATGTATTACTGTGTTTCTATGTATCTACCTTTTGTTTTCTATTTAGGTTTTAGGTATAAGTGAGAAAAAAATCTAAATCGTAATAGCGGTAAAATTGCACCCTGTATGTTTAAAACTAAGTAAATATTTTTAAAATATAACAACTAGGTATCTATAGGTACTGCAACTCTATTTTATTTTAATTTATGCTATTTTGTACCAAATGTTAAGTTTTAATACTTGTTTCTGCAAAATAAAACTATGTTTTATTAAGAAAAAATAACTTTAAAAGGGGCGGCAATTTGTTTTTGTCCGGGGCGGCGTAAACGTCAGAGCGGTCGCTGCTTAGCTCTGCTTTTAAAGCACTTACATTCATCGACCCGTATATCTTCCATATTTCATCAGAAGTATCACAATTTTTATAAAAATTACGAAAAACCCGCGTTAAAAAGCCATAATAAACATTAACTTTCAGTGACATTTGAAGTTTCTGAACCACACCCTACACTAGGGCCTCTCGTGGTGAAATTAGGGCTCATTGCGATTAACCACTGGTACAAGATTTTTATCAAATAAATGGAAATCCCTCTTGAGACCGTCGCATATACCATTCACATACCGGCTTCTGGTTATTGCCTTCGTCAGTGCGAAGTAGGTACACGCAAGTGTATAGTATTTCTAAAGTCAGTTGGAACGATATAAAAATGCCGACAAAGGAATTTAAACGCCCAACAAAGGGATTTACTCATTTAATGGATAAATCCCTTTGTCGGCGTTTTTATATCGTTCTAACTGACTTTAGAAATACTATACCAAGTAAGAGGCAATAGACTATTTTAAGTCTTTGGAAATAGGTGGCGATAAATAAAAAGACGACGAGATGACAATTTTGTGAAGATACCAAAATTAGAAAACAATTTTTAGTGCCATTGGGTAGCATTTTCATTAACAGAAGTAAACGATTTTTTTAATTGCCTGTAAACTTTGGACATTTGAGATAATAAACGCAATTATTTAGTTTCTCTATAATTATAATTTGATAATAACTTTTAGCCTAAAGATTAACGAGTAATGACTTTATTTAACCAATTATACATATTAATTTTCACTTTCAATTTGTTTATATCATTTTTATAGGGGAAATAGCTGTTAATGAGTATATAATTACATGTCACAAACATTTTAGCCCAAATTTACAGCATTTTCAACCAATTTCCTGTATGAATTTAAGAAAAATTATTTCTTATTTAAATAACTGTCTACATCATATTTTAATATGTTTTAATAATAATAATAATAATATTAATGGCTAGACAACACGCTTCTCGGATCCAGAATGTGGTGGAATACACGAGAAACGGAAGAATTTTTACTCCCAAAGTCCGGCGCATAGCAGCCGGATTAAGACATCAACACCACACTAAATCTAACAGTGATGCTTACCATCAAGCAGCACTGCCTAGATAGGATCCGAGCGCACATGGCTATAAAGAAAACGTTGAAGAGGCGGGTAAGGAGTATGGAGCAAATCAATTTGTTCCCTACGAATTCTTCCCGCCTCCTTCAAGAACCACAGCGTGTTGTAGATAATCCGCCGACTGTAGAAGATGTCGAAACCTTCTGGAAGGGAATCTGCGAAACGACGCGTCCATTCAATAGCGACACTCCAGCAATTGCACATTTCGAGGCTGTGCCACAGACATCTTGAAGAACCAGAAGAAGTGTGCCCAGCAGTCAGTACGGAGGAAGTCCAACAAGCACTAGTTGGTACCAAGAACTTCGCTGCCCCGGCCCAGACGGCATTAACAACTGGTGGTGGAAGAAATTTCCTTCCACTCACCGCCGTCTGGCGAGAGTTTTCAACTCATGGTTGAACGAGGGGCAGCAGATTCCGGACTGGTTCGTCGAGGGACGTACTGTGCTTATCCCCAAAAAAGGGGGATCTTTCGACCCGAGGAATTATAGGTCGATCACTTGCCTCAACTCCTGCTACAAGATATTTATGCAAGGACACTGAGATCTGTTGATCCGGTCTTCCAGCAGATACACGAACAGTGTGGTGCCAAGAAGGGCATGGCAGGTTGCAAGGACAGTCTGCTGATAGACCGCTGTGTTACACAGGATTCTATCCAATACAAGTGGAATCTATCGATGGTCTGGATTGATTACCGCAAGGCATTTGATACATCACACGAGTCATTGTTGCACTTGCTCGAATGTCTTGCGGTACCAGCACTACTAGTGAGATGCATAGAACAGCTGCTGCCGCTCTGGAAGACTCTCTTCACCATAACATCAGGTGCATAGCGGGTCATGACAGAGCAGGTAGCATTTAGGAAATGAGTTTTTCAGGGTGACTCCCTAAGTCCTCTCCTCTTCTGCATCTCACTGCGGCCGTTGTCTGTTGGGCTCGGCCAAACCCGCGCATATCAATGTGGACCACCCAGCGACCGGAGGTATAAGGTCATCCATCTATTTTATATAGATGAATTTAAACTTTATGCCTCCGGAGAGTGCGAACTACAAAACGCTCCTAGGGTGGTTGAAGAATACACGCGGGCAATTGGTATGGAATTCAGGTTGGACAAATGTGCAGTCGTCCACGTCAAGAGAGGATGATGCGGGGAATTTTCTGAAGATGCGCAGCTCGGAGACGGAAGCATCCTAAAACATCTGGATGCCGGAGAGACTTATACATATCTTGGTGTGCAACAAAGGCAAATTCAAGATGTAAAACAAAGGATTCGGCAAGTACAGACACCGTCTCCGAAAGATTTAGTCATCCGAACTTTCGGGGAAGAACAAGGTGTCTGTTACTAACATGCTTGCCGTTCCGGTTCTGCTCTACTCCTTTGGAGTAGTGAAATGGACAGTAGATGAGCTGCGCCAATTAGACAGAGATACCAGCAAGATGATGAATATTTACAGAAGTATTCATTCTAGATCGTCTGTTCCTCGTGTGTGGCAGAGTAATACTGAGTATGGCATGTAACATCCTCAGGAGCTCAGATCCCCTCTTGCGGTTTGTAAAACATCACAAAACTGTAGGAGTGGTAGCAGGATTGTTCAAGGCAGCAAAAACAGCAGCAGATGAACTCGGTCTCGTATTCGACACCAGGCGAGGTGGCCAGCGAGGTGCTGATGTAGAGTCAGTCACTGAACTTCAGCCAAATCGCCTGAAAGCCCGAAATAGAGCTGCCGAACAAGAACATCTGTTTCGGCAGCACGTCGATAAACCCACAGCATGGTGTCTTCTATAAGAACATAGAGACACTGGGTTTATCGACCAGGTTGACATTCGCCTTTCTAAGGTCAGCCGGGCTTAAGTCGAAAACCGAGGGATTCATTATGGCCTGCCAAGATGGTGTTATCAACCTTTGGTCTATCGTAGCTGCGTGTGGCGTGTAGAGGTTCCTGATATCAACTGCAGGACCTGCCGTCAGGCGCCGGAATCGCTACATTCACCGACACAACGTGGCGTTACTAGTGCTATACTACCATCTAAGGCACTCGTACGGGGTAGACCAGACACCAGTGCAGCCTTACATCCCCGGAGATATTGAGCCCTTTGTCGAGAACGAGAAATGCCGGATATACTGGAACTACTCGTTCCCGCCGGTCTGGCAATTCCAAGCCAACAAGCCTGACGTAGTCCTCCTCGACCATCAACTCAAGGTGA